AATCTTTAAATTGCGTTAAATTATATAACGTCAGTATTTTCTTGGCGTCTCACCAATTCGACCACCGAGGCATACGATAATATTTGTCGCAATAACAGTACAAAGATGTTGTCCACGCGTATATTGACGCCCGCCTAGAGTGCAGGGAGGTCCAGGTTCAAGCCCAGACTGAGGTAATATTTTTCGCAATAAATTTTCTGTATTATTAAAAATGCCAGGTACGGTCAAGAAAATACTGACGTTGTTAATTATCGCTGGCGACATCGAAGAATTCTTATTGGTTAAATTATATAGTCATCGAAAGTATATTCAGGTTAACGTTCATGAAATCCTATGAGGTAATCAGGCGCACCGTATCAGGCGCATCAGGGATTCCTTATTAGGGCATTCCTTACTTCCTCCCCATCAGGCCCTGACCATACATAAGGCATGCCTGATTTCATTTCTACTCGGGTTTCTGAGCTTATCGACGACTAAATATCGCATGCGGGGCGACGACCCAGAAATTTTTCAGGATTTTCCGTTTCCGGCGGCGAGAAAGAGCCGAGCACCGCGGGAACGATATAGCTTTGACTATATCGCCACGTCAGCGTCAAAGGCACAATTGTTGAAGAGACCGATGCAACGTCACCGGCGCAACGTTAAAGGCCGCAAAAGAAATCCCTGGAAAATGTCAAGTACTTTCCGCGGGCCACGAGCTGTTTCACCAACAAGTGCAGTTAATAATCGGAGGGAAAGAAAAATTGCTTCCGGGGGATACAGCTTGTTAGATGGGTTTCTCTACGTCACGGCAAGAAGACGTCGCTTTGTTAATTGCCGGTCGCGCTGTCAAGATATAAAAGTACAAAATATATGTGTAAAAATTAATTAGCCAAATCTTGATCGCGTTGGACGCGGTGTGCGACCAAACATATTTTCGACGCTCGCGACTCGGTAATTTTTACGCAACCCCTGCACACAAAATCGGGACGAGTCAGATTTCGACTGATCTCTTTCGCGAGGACGTGTCTCGATTTGACGTAAATTTCAGGTTTTCTGCTCATTTATAAGACCAGAACCCGCGTTCAAGCAGGAAAACCGGAAATTGTGTAAAATCGAGATACGACGTTGCGAGAGAGACCAGTCGATTTATAACCTTCTCCCCTCGATTCTGAATCGCGAGTCTATAGTTGAAGGGACAGGCAGTGTCTCTACTCGTCGTTCTCCGCCGACTTATATCCACCTTCGTTCTCAACTCGCTCTCGATTCGCTCCGCGACACGTTCCCACTTTGCCCTTCTTACTCCGTCGTTACGTCTCGCTCTTCGTTTCGCCCGACAGTCGCGCGTGCGATTCCTCGCTCGTGAGCGACGCCGGGCAAGTCGGCGCGTACGAAGTTCCGGGAAAAGTTCTCTTCCGGAAAAATTTTCCCGGGGAAAAGGCGCACGGACCGCCGACGTCTCGCCGGCCGGTTATCCGGCGACGTCGGGGAAAACGATGCCCGGAAGGTGGGAGGTCAGTCGGGGTTCATGCGAGTTCGACGGCCGCTCGATTCCGGAAATCGAAAAGGACGATGCCGTAGATACGAGTAAAGCGGAGTAAAGTGTCCGCCGGTTACCGATACCTCGATACCGGCGGGATAACGTTCGATATCTCCCTCGCGAAGACAGTTTACGAAGACATATTCGATTTGCAATTGTCACAATTAAACGCGCGTTTCGTTCTCTCGTATTAAATCTGTGAGATTTGTCGGCTCGAACCTCGTGAGGGTCTCGCAGTCTCCGGTGGAATTAATTTAATAAATTGTACGGTCTCTTTTTCTCGCCTTCTCGAACACGCATGTCATTTGTTTTCCCGAAATCATTCTAAAATGATTAATTTCGAAGCGGAACGCTGAGCAGCCTGTGTACGACGTCAAGTTCCTTGAACGCCACAGCGTGGGCGTGTGAGCATTTCTATTTGGATAACTACAGCTCCCTTATCTCGGAACCAAGTCTGACGTGCAGAGTCTTTCCCGGAAAACTTTGCGTTTCGCCTTGACATCCATTCGTTGACTTCGAGGAAATTTCGAGCGGAAAATCGATCACGCGACAAAACGGTATTGAGCCTTGACCGCGCACGAACCATATTTGGCTTCGTGAAAGAACGGCGAAACGAGCGGTGAAATAAATGGGAATGAAATGAAGAATAAATGGAAAATAAATGGAGAATAAATGAAAAAACAAATGGATAGCAAATGAGGAAGGAATGAAGAATGAGCGTAAAATAAATGACGACAAATGGAAAACAAACGTAAGGAAGGTGGAAAACAAACGGAGAACAAAATTGAAAACAAATGAAGAATAAACGGAGAATAATCGAAGAACAAACGGTGAACAAGCGGGAAAACGAATGTGGAACAAACGGAGGAGGAATACGAAAGAAAGAAAAAATCGAGGGGAAAACACAGAATGAACAAATGGATAAAACGTAGTGAATAAAGCATAAATGGGGAAATGAATAAAACATAAATAGGGAACAACTGGGGGGAATACAAGTGGAGATACGAGATAAGTGATATGAATAAGCAAAGCGTATACCGAGCGAAATAAATATTTCGTCGACAGACCTCACGCTAGAATCTACCGAGTTATCAAAACTGATGTCTTAACGTGTATATCTCAATTAAGAAGTTTAAACTTTAAATTGGTACGATTTCTCCACTCAACGCCCCACTTGCGTGTTATTTTGTTTTCTCGCCCAAGTTGCTCGCTGAAGTTCCTACGTGAGCGAGCGGGGTAAGTACCCGGGATCTCGGCTCTGAGGGAACGCGAGAGTTAATATCAAGGGCTGAAAAGATCTTAGCACCTGATTGCAGATCGTTATTAGGGAAGAGGGGGGGCGGGGGTTCCCGGTATTCCACGGATTCCCGTATCCTTGAACTTGCCCCGTCCCGCGGCGCCGCGCCAATAAGAATTCGAGTCGAGTTCGGAAGTCCAACGCGAATTCAATCTCCGCGACGAGGCCAATTTGTTTAACCACCGACCGACCCCCGCCCCCAGCCCCCGCGTCCGACGAAATTGGCCATCCCGATCCACCCGGTTCTCCCCGTAACCTTTCGCATGCCCCGATATACTAATTCGACCCCTCGCCCCTGCCTTCCGCGCGATTACCCTCGATCCGAGAGTGCCCTTTAAATTCGAAGAAGATTAAAGGGGGCGGGAAAAGGGATTCTCGTCGCGTCATTATTTCGATTCTCCTAAAAATTTATCCCTCGTCCACTCCCCTCCCCCCCCTCCCTGCCATCGTTACCGTCCGTCTGGTATCCCAGGTTCGCGTATCCCGCGGGATTATCGTCGCCGGGGTATTGTTGCATCGTTCACGATTGTCCCGAACAAAATGACCTCGCGCGCCTGTAAAGGCGGATTTCGGGCGAGCTGCGCTCGCGATACATTTTGTATTTTATTACCCGCTGTTAAGTTGATTGTTTCGAAGCTTGGATTGATACGCGCATTAATAATTCGATGTATAAATAATAATAAATAATACAACGTAATATCGGTATTACTTTAATATTTATGAAATATTTAATTATCGTCATTATTCGTATCGTCGTCATTTCGATATCGCAGCAATATATCATTACCGCGCTTAGCACTCAGTCAACGGTTATCGAATATCGCGTTAACGTTTATCGCTGTCGCGCACGCCGCTGTTACTTCAATACGTAATGAAGAATTAATATATTAATAACATTAAAACCCCGTGTTTTGTTGCACGATGATGACGCTAAAGAGCCGTTTTATTTTCGAAATGATCGTCACGCCAATTTCGTTATCGGAGATAAAAGCCTCCCTCTTTCCTTTTACAGCGGTGGTGAAATCAACCTCGGTATTACCTTCGCCACGATTAATATTAATGACGCAACCCCTCCCTCCCGGAAGTTTCGGGCGATTCTTCTGTGGAGCAGCGGAGAGAAACACAAGTAGCGCAATTACAATAAGAGAGGCGGGCGCTCGTTTTTATCGCCCGGTGCAGCGGCAACAAAGAACGAAGTGCGCTCGGCGCGACATCGGTTAAAGCAGCGGCTCTCAAATTTCGAGCATCCCCCTCGGTGAGAGTCGATAAAAATTCTCGCCGTTTCCTCCCTCGGTTAACCCTAGCGAGCCCGAGTCTAATAAAGCAAGAATCTGGAAATAGAAATTTCCCAGACACGAGCCCGCGACTTAATAAAAATCTTCGACACCTGCGCCGTGGGTGGAATTCGTAAAAATTATCTCCAGGGGCGACACTCCTCGAGCGATTTTCGGGTGGAGCACCAGCGGATTAAAAGATCAACTTGGTCAGTTCTATCTCGCGAGCTCTCCAAAGGACACAGACCAATCGCCGTCGCTCTCCGGGCAGCTATTTATTGAGACATCAGTTCTGCCGGTTGGAGAGGAAGATTAAAATAATATTTCCTTTTTGCGGCGAGAGGAAGAATCGATCGAGCCCGCCGCCATCGAGGTCCGCCGCGTTTGATAAGACCTTTCTTTTATTGTCGCGGAAAGCGCCTTTATTATTGCGAATCGCACGCCCGGGATAATTGCTCGGCGATCACGGCGGAAAATTGCCGATGTTTCAATTTACTTCGATCGATCCGCGGCCACTCGCTTATACGCCATCCGCATTAAGGTTATACGGGGATTCAACACTTGGCGTTTAATTGCTTCACACGTTCGCGCACGGTGAAATGGTGAATTCGATCCGAGATTCCGGCGAGTTGGGCGGGAATTTGGTATTCTTAAATTCGGAATACCGGATCGAACCGGCAAGATAAAGCACAGCCTACATTCGAATGTGAGGGCGAGTGAATAACCGTCGATAAAAGGTACCGATAAAAATGCTAATGTAATATCGGGCCGCCTCAGATTAAGTTAATCGTTTCGCAGAAGCTCGCGTTCGATACGGAACGCAATCGCAGATTGATACGACTGCCAGCTCTATCTCTCTCTCTCTCTCTCTCTTTCTCTCTCGCTCGCTCGCACGCTCTCTTCGATTTACTCCAATCTACTTGGATCTGTCCCGCGTTGTTTCTCGTTGCTGCTAGGGTTAAGGTCGCGATCGACGTCTCGCGGTTCGACCCGCCAATAAATAACATGCATGCCGCCCGACAGCTCTATTTGCGGACGACATTTCAGCAGTGCGCGGCTTCGATCGATCGCGTTCGGCATTGTCGGCGGACTTCCTGGAAACCGGTCGTGCCGCCGCACCGGCTGCAGTTGCGACGCTGCCAAACTACACTCGGGGCCAAATTGAACCTGGACCTGCCCGTCCGGGACGTCGCGAGAGCCTTCGACATCCACTTCGATTTCCACTTTATAACGTATGTCGCGAACACTGGTATTAAGGGAAACAATTAATTGTGACAGTACACGGAGAGGGGCTTCTCTTAAATTTCACCCTGAAAATCGCGGGGCAATACGGCACTTTGAAGAACTGTACGACAATTTTTCGAAATTTTACCATACATTCTACTATTACAGTAAAATGTACACTATACAATAATTACTAGTAGAATGCATGATAAAATTTCGAAAGACTCTCAGAAAATTCGAAACGCCGTGTCGTCCCACGATTACACGATTTTCAGGATAGATTTTAAGAGAAAATTCTCTCCGCGTAAAGTGACAGAGCTCGCAATCGGAGACGTCTCGTGCTCTCGGCGAGCTTCGATCGCGAAGCGTCTAATTTTTCTGCTGATAAAATAATAATATTTGAGCAATTTTGATCTTTTTCTCAGAAACGCAAAAAAAAATAGATGCGCGTTGCGAAAACTTTGGCGCACATCTTGTATATTTCACAGGTCTCGCAACATGAAATTTTTTTTCTTCCCCTCGGTCGGGAGAGCGTACGCGAGGATCCCCGAACGCGGACCGATAAGACGCGACGCTGTTGTAATTTTCATTATCCTTACGTGGATTACACGCGGCGCGCAATTTTAATAGCAATAATAAAGACGCGGGGGGCAAAGGATGCGCTTTAAGAGAGCGCGGGAATTGCTTAAAAATATTGTGACAGAACTCGCGGAGGTGGTTCTCCGCGATCTCTCCGGAGGCCTCCGACCCGCCGCGCCGCGGCCATTCGCCGCTCGTCGGAGAAAGGTTGTGCCAGTAACGCGTCGCGGCTTTTTCTCCGTTGTCGTCGCAATTTTCTTTTTTTTTTCTAATCGATTCCACGAAGAGGAAAGTGGAAGATTGGCCCTGCGGAGGTAGCCGCTTCAAAATCGATCCGCAGTAAGTAACTAGAGACCGCTGTCTCCACCCCCTCGTCCCGATCACCACCGCCGGCCGCGTTCTCTCTATTTTGTCTCTAGCCGCGCAGGGGTGCATTGCCCGTCTCGCTTTCCTTCGCCCTCTCACTTCTGGCCGGCGGTCGAGAGAGTTATAATTTTTCGGCGAGCTCAATTTCCCGACAACGGGGTTTCGCGAAAACGGACCGCGCGTCCGATTGTCGCGGATAAATACAGGGATAGCTTTCGGCGTGACTGCGCGTCTCAAAATTGGAGACCCGGGCTAAATTACACCCCCGCCCCGTCCCCCCCCCCCCCGGGTCGCCATTCAACCGGTCGGACGGGCTCGTGCGTGGCGTTTCTCTCGTTGCCGGTGTGTCGATTCGCAAAACGCCGATATCTTTCCGCGAATTGCGGTATCTCACCTCGCCCTATTAGCTTAATGCGTCCCGCGAAAGCGGGGTGAGAAATGTACATGCGCGTGTTATGAGAAAATGGATGAAATTTCTTTTCCAATACTTTTGTCCTTTTTACATCGGAACGGGGAGAACGATATCGAGAAAAAGAAGAATAGAAAGGGGGCAGAGAGGGAGAGATTCCTTTTTTTTTAAGTTTACCCTTTTGTGAGAACGCCTTTCAACCGCTAGGTTATATCAGCGTGACATTTCTACAGGGTGAGTCTTTCCATATCCGACAAAATTTTTGAGAAGGTAGAACGGACCGAGATGAACGGAAAAGTCCTGTACCATTTTGCAATTTTCGTAATAGTTAACGAGTAATTAATTATTAAAAATCGTTGTCTTAGGCCGGCCTATCGCCCAATTCGAGCGCGTGGCAAGATGTGACCGCCCGGCGATCGATATTGCTATGCGCACATCTCGCCACGCGCTCGAATTGGGCGGTAGGCCGGCCTA